TTACAAATTTCTTTTGTCAAAAACACTATGTTTTTTTATTTTATTTTATTTTGTCAATATTAAATATCAATTCAATAGCAGACGTATAGTTCAATGACTTTTAAACAAAAAAAAAAAACATAAAAAAATGTGAAAATATTTGTTTAATGCAGTCGTAGACAAAGTACATTTTTATTTTGAATATTTTGTCATAATAATAAAAAAAACGGCTTTATTTCCGTTTTTGTATTACGAAAAGATTACAACAGTGCGGTCATAAGCTAAAGACAGTGCATTTTTTTTTTTTTTTTTTTTTTTTTGTTATTAATTTTTTTATTTAAAACATAAAAAAGCGTAGGAAGTAACTAAAAATTGGTGTTTTAGAAAATATTTATGTTGTTATGTGTAAAATTTCCTTCAAACACACAAAACAGGAAATGCCATTAAATATTTTAGTAAAAATTGTAAAGTTTTAATATTAAAATATTTTTCACTGTTCTATTGTTAATTTTCACTTAGATAAGATTACATATTTCTTTAAGAGTTTTTTCTGCTATCTTTTCGAATTTCACAAAAAAAACGACCTTTTATCTTATAATTTGATTAAGCTTAAAAATATTTTTTTTGTTGTTTTTTTTTCATTCATTCAGTCTAATTTTGTTCATTCTTTAGTTAGATAAGCAGAAATATTTTTGTATTTTTTTGTTAAAATAAAAATAAATATTTTTGTTTATTTTTCTTTTAATTAAACTCGTTTTTTACAATAACAAACAGTATAATAAAAATATTTTAATAAATTTATACAAAGGTGCGGTTTTTACAAAAAATATTGTTAAAAAAAATCCACAAAATGTTGTTAAGCCTTTAAAATTTTTGTTTAAAAAAAAGTTTAATATTAAAAAATTTATAGATTTTTATAGCAATAATTTGTTAATGACTCTTGTTGAAGAAGATTAATAATTTAATAGAAAAATAATATTTAATATTTTATTTCAAAATTTTACATTAAGGCGGGCATTTTTTATGGAATTTTGGGGAATTTTAAGGAATATGTCAAACTTATTAGTAACAAATGAAAGCTTTGCGTAATACCTTTGCTTTGATATACATGAATGACAAACTTACACGTATAAATATACCCTTCTCAGGAAGGTATTTGTATGTATAAGTTTAATATTTATACAAAAATATTTATTAAAAACAAAAAAACAATTTCTTTCACATTTTTCTAGCACAATTTTCTGGTATTTTATAATAAATAAAGTGGAAAATATATTGTCATAAATAAAAACAAATTATAAACTATATATAATATTTAGTATGGTTTCTTATTAAATCGACATTTGTACATGTTTTAAGCAAAAAAAAAGAGAAGAAAAAAAAAACAACTAAATAAGGTGGCCGTAAATTAAAAAATAATTTTTTGCTACGCCTTCGCAAATAATAAAAACATTTAAAAATTCATAAATTCTTAAATGGTTGTTAACATACATATTTGAAATTCAAAAGAAAAAAATAAATAAATTTCTTATTTTTTAACACATACATGCAGTTTTAACTATATATATATATCCGAAGATTGCTAAGTATATAGTATAAAGAATTTTTTTTGTTAAAAGAAAATATCAAGCAAAATAAATGTCCACCTGTGTTATTTTGCTGACGTTAGATTCCAAGAATATATAATATTCCTTTTAAATGTTGTTTTGTTTTGTTGTTTTTAAAAATAAAGAAAAATTTACGAAATTTTTAAAAATAAAATGCAGCATATGTTTAACATGCATGTATGATTTTAAATAAATAATTAAAATTTTTTCTTTTTAAAATAATTACAGTGTTAGGAGTTAAAGGAAATTTAACAACTTCTATTAAATACTAGCTATACCTAGTGTTCTTGGCTATGCTACAGTCTATATAAATCAGGAACCCACTTTACGATTCTATCTCTAACAGTTTCCCAGATATATGAATTTTGGTATTTAATTACTATGGTAGGCGCCAAGCCCCCTATTAAAACTCCGCCAATTTATTGGCCAAATGTTCACATGTAAAACTTTTTCGTACAAAATATTAGAATTTTTTTACTTAATTCACATGGAAAGTGCCAATCCGACCTTTTCCCCAGTTTTCCTTATAGTTTCCTATATAAACATATTTTTGTATTTAATTCATATGTGAGTGACCATGCCCCTAAAATCAATTCCGCCAATTCATTACACAAATATTCACATGCAAGTCAAAGTTGTTCTTACAAATTTTCAGATTTTTAGCTTTAATAGTTTTACAGTTAAATGAATTTTTGTATTTAATTCCTATGGGGGAATTACCACGACCCCTATTACTAGTTCGCCCATTTTTTTTTATCCAAAATATTTATGTCGATACTAAAGTGGCTCTGAAAATATTTGTGGACTCTAGTTGTTATATTTTCTCAGATATACTAATTAAAGGGAGTGAGGTGCCACGCCCCCTGTAGCTATACAGCCCATTTTATTAACATGTGTTTATATGGAAGCCAAAAGTTGTTCATTTGAGAACTCTAGCTGTTGCAGTTTCTGAGATATGTGTCATTTAACACTTATTTTGTATGTGGACGTGGTACCTCGCCTCCTTCCAGACATACCGGAAGACACTGTGAAATTTTTTAAGAAAATCGGTTCAACCGTTTAGTCGTCAATAAAGTCCTACAATTTGCCGGTCGTCCGTACATATATGTATAAACCTATGTTGAAAAGAAAGCAATTTAACGAAGGCCTCAGATATCTTAGGGATCCAGACATGTTTACCAAATCGGTCCAAATCGGATAATGAAAAAACACATATTTCGGATGTTGTGTCCCATATATACTCTTGTACATATATGTATATCAGATATTCGAAAGACCTTTCCTTTGATCATATCTAAAAATAGAACTATGGTTTCGAGATCTATCCGAAAATATGGTAAAAAATATGAGGTTTTGAAGATTTTACTCATATCTCAAACATGTATGTACAAAAGTTGATAACTTTTGGCAAAAGTTTTAAAAATTAAAAATTTTTAAAAATGAAAAATTTTTAAAAAACATTATTTTTTAAATAAATATTTTTTTATTAAAAAAAATATATATTTTTATTAAAATATACTATGATGAAGTTTATATAAAATAGCAATCAGTAGTTTTCTCTATAAATTCAAGGCACCTTATTATCAAATATTTTTAATATTTTATTTAAACAATTTAAATATTTAATTTTATGTGCTATATATTTTTTTTTTCTATTTTGCCAAACAAATATTCTAATTTTACCCAAAGCAGACTATAAAATATGTTCCATTTATTTTTTTGTTTTCAAAAATATTTCATTTAATATTCTAATGGTTTATATATTTGTTTTCTACGAAAAAAACTTAAATAACCCTGAGAGAAGGACGGAATTTATTTATTTTCGTGTGTTTTTGGTGTAGTCATAAGGTCTAAATTTTAAATTGTCGTCATTGAATCGTCGTCATATCATTTTAATCAATAACTGCTTGAAATAAAAAAATAAAAAATAAATATTTTTGTTTATTTTTTAAACAGCCAAACAGCAAGAACTACATACAACAAATCATTAAAAAAATGATTAATTAATAGCAAAGTATTTAAACATATTTTCAGTTTTGTAGCTGTTTTAGTTTTTTTTTTTTTTTTCAAAGAATTTAAATATAAAACATTTTTTTTGAAAAAAATTCCCCTCAACTTGAATTTGTCAATTAAGAGACGTGATGTGAATTCTTTTTTAATTTTCAGTAATTTCTTAGTTATTTTATCTATAGCCCTGTATGTTAAACAAACCCCCAAAAATGTGTCTAGAAAATATTTCAATGATTTCTAGATAAAAACCAAAAAAAAAAAAACAACACACTTCCGAAAGTATCAATAGAAAAAATATATAAAAAAAAAACAAAACTAGTTATTAGTAATGCCTCTCCTCTAATAGCTCGTGTTTACCATAAAAAATTGTTTAAATATTTTTATTGGATTAAAAAAAAAAACAGAAAAAAACTTAATATTGAATTAAAATAACTGACCACTTGAATTTCAATATAAAAAAAAATACTTTGATAAGCGTTTTTTAATAATTATTATATTATTGTGTTTTATTTGAAGTTTTCGCCAAGAAAAGAAAACAAAATTTTTTTATAGTATAAAATTCTTAGAAAAAATGTTAACGAGCTTTAATGCAAATATTTAGATTATTTTAATGAAAAACAAATTCAGACAGAGAATAGATGTTGAACGCAAAAAAAACGGGTGTATTTACCTTTGTTGGCAAAAAGTAAAAAAAAACAACGTTTACGGTCTTCAAACACATGTGGTATGATTAGTAGAGGAAATGCCAGGAATTTTTATGAGACTAACATTAATTTGAATTGTTAATCTTATCGTTGTTTTGTTTGGAAAAGAATTTTAACATTCATAGATATAATTAACACTAAATATACCAAAATATAAGATCGATACAATCGAGTTCCAAATTCAGCTATTGTATATTCTGATTTATAGAACTCAAGAGCGAGATTTTTAAAATTATACATGGTTTGAACTAACCTAATTGGAGACCTCATAACGCTGCTCTTGAGGGATCCATCATCAAAACTCGAACACTCCTCTGCTTAATTTAATTATCATTCTATTTGGGCCCACTATATCTTCTGGCCTTACTAGTGTTAAAGATTTTTTTTAGAATAAAACAGTAAATAAAAAACCCAACCAGACTTATTCATGAGATGAAACTAGTTTGTATTTTCTTTAAAAATTTATTGAAACAAAATTTTTTTCGATAAAAAATAACATCCAAAAATAGATAAATTAATGTACAGTCAACTACTACAAAAAAAAATTAAACCGGAAATGGCTTTTGTAAAAAAAGTATTTCGAAAAAATTCCATAAATTTGCATTTCTAAATTTCTATAGCTCGATAAACTTTCATCTAAAATAAATGTATAAATTTCCTTTATCTAACTCCCTCTCTCTTTCTCTCTCTCTTTCTCTAGATACACAAAACCCCAATCATTTGAAGATTGTGTGGGTGATGAATTGCCCATGGGTTGGGAAGAGGCTTATGACCCCAATATAGGACGTTATTATATAAATCACATAGCACAGACCACACAATTGGAAGATCCCCGTCAAGAATGGAAAAGTGTACAGGAACAAATGTTAAGAGACTATTTGTCAGCGGCCCAGGATCAATTGGAAAACAAACGTGAAATGTTTGATGTTAAGCAACAGAGATTATTAATAGCTCAAGAGGAATATAATCATCTTAATAAATTGGCGGCCAGTAGAAGCAGCTGTAAGTTCAAATACACAATTATACAAATAGTTAACACTTTCTAATTAAATATCTCTCTCTCTCTTTCTTTATTACAGTATGCTCTTCCTCCTCTTCTATGAGTCGTCATGATCCTGAATTATTAAGAGCCGATTTGAAACTGGCTAGAGAACGTGTTCACCAACTGAAACAAGAACTCAAACACATTACAAATGATATCTCCGATACACAACGTGGTATGAATACTTTGTATTCAGTGGGTGAGAAAATCAATGCTCGCCAAAATGGTTGCTACGACATAGCCGAGGTCCAGGCTATACGCGAGGAAATGCTCAAAGTACACAAGTCCCTTGTTTCGGGTGAGAAGGTACGCGAAGAACTGATACGCAGTTTAGTGCAAATCAAAAATGAGCTTAGTCGCCAACAAATCAATGAAGAAAATGCTGAACTACTGAATGCCTCTTCGCCCTTCGATCGGGTGTGTGTGGCTTCTCAAACCGATCTGTGTGGGCCGGGTGATAATTTAAATAGCGGTGCCCGTTTTGCTGAAATGGCCAAAACAAAACTTCAATACACCGAATGGCGTAAGCATATTAAACGGCTGCAACAGCAATTGGCGGATCATGTGGAACGCATTGAACCCGGCCAATTGGAATCGGATAAAGATAGAATACTATTGATTCAAGAAAAGGAAAAACTACTAAATGAATTAAATAGCATATCGTTGAAATCACGCACCTCCGAAGAAATACATGTCATACAAGAAACCCGCAGAAAATTGGAGGAAGATCTAAATGAAGCATATGAAGCGACAAATCAACAAATAAACAATCGCCTTCGTTTTCACGAGGAGAAACAATTGCTGTTGGATAAGTTGCAAGAGGCTTTAAAGTCCACAAAAATGTTAGAAGAACGCTTGAAATCCTTCTCTTCAGAAAGTACCTTTTCCATTAGTAGTGGCAGCAGCTTGGGTTCTTTGTCGACGGCGAGCAGTAAAAGTGCTTTAAGTTTCACCGACATATACATAGACCCATTTGCCGTGGATCCCCAAATAGATGTGGTGGATTTGCATCGCCGTTCACAAAGGCTTTTCCAACAGCCACAGCAATTGCAGCAACAGGCTCAAATTATTCAACAAAGCGTAGTAGGTGATCAGGTTCTAGGTCATCCTCCCCTGCAGCAACAACAATCTTCCGAAATCTCTTTATCTCCACGCAGTAGTCTATCAATAGAAACCCCACCCGCCTCTCCTATGAAATATAATCCCGCCTCTGAACAAAATCCATTAAGTGCCTCTTCTCAGCAGTTACTGAAGGAAGAACCTACGTATGCCAATGCTGGAGCCGTCTTACAAACACTGTATCAGCAATCCAATCAGATACCCGCCTCAGTGGGCAACAGAGCAGCTGCACCAAATCCTTATGACTTAGATTCTACAGTATTGGACTGTATGATGTTGGAGGCTAAATTACAAAAACTCAATATGTCGGCACCCCTCAATTTGGGAGCTCCTTTGTCGCCTATTTCAGAAAAACCTTCACTGCTAGATTTACCCCAAGAAATGTTGAGTCGTTCATCGTCTACATCGAATACACGCTCAGTATCGGCAGCCGTAAGCAATGAATCTGTGGCGGGAGATTCGGGTGTATTTGAGGCTTCACGAGCTCATTTGCCACGCAAGGAGTTGGCGCAAGTGCAAATAGGTTTGAAATACCTAAAGAAGGAAGGCGTTTTGGTGGTATCTTTGGAACGTGCAAACAATTTATCTGCCCTAGTGACAACCTCAACGGAAAATTCGCAAGTGTAAGTAGAAGATTTAAAATTTATTTAGTAAAATTTATTCTATAACTTATTTTGCATATTACAGATATCTCCGTGCCGCTTTACTACCCAATTCCCTGACATCCATACGCACAAAAGCCTTACCAGATTTCCAAAAGCCCGTATTTAATGATACATTTGCGGTGCCTATTTCACTCAGTAAACTTTTAACCAAGAGCTTGCATGTGACCGTGATTAGCATGACCGGACAAAAAGAGGAGATTATTGTAAGTTTTTTATTATTTATGGAGAAAATATTTGATGAACAATTATTAACAATTTATTTTCTCTAACTATAGGGAACAGTTCAAATAAGTATGGCTGAATTTAATCCAGAGGATTCCACCTTGAAGTGGTACAATGTTTTGAGTTCGAAATTTATGCCCACATTTGAACCATTAGATATGCCCTCAACTAGTGCAGCAGCTGCTGTAGCAGTAGCTGGACATGTGAACAATAGTGCTCCAGTTACACACAATGTTTGCAAAGAAGAATCTTCTGATGAATCGACCATAACTTCATCTCAAACTTCCACACTGACACGAAACCAAGTGCCACCATTTGAAATGCAAGCACAAATTGCCGAAGATTTAAGAGAAAATCTTGGCTTGGATGTGGATGACAACGATGAAGATGAGGACGATGATGAAGATGACGAAGAGGAAGTAGATGATGAGGAATTGGAGGGCGCTATAGGAAGTGGTAAGGAATATCTTAAATCTTAATTATTAAAAGCTCCAAGACTTATTTTATTTGCTTACGCTTCTAAACAGATTTTACCAAGAAAATGTTGGATGCCTACATGGACAATATGAAACAGGAATATGTTGATAAGGAAACCAATACAGAATGTGCATTCCCTCCAGAAAAATCTCGTTCACAACAGGGTCAACAAACAACCGATGATAGACCCGTTAAACGGTCACAAACATTTACACCTTCAGCGGCGGTGGGTAAAAGTCGCTATATTTGCCGCTTGAATCGCAGTGATTCAGATTCGGCCATGCATTTTGGGGTTACACCACATCCCTTCCATCGTGGAGCCATTGAAAGACGTTCTTTGCGCTTCCACACCAAAGCTCCTAAAACTGCCACAAGTAAGTTTCCCTTCTGCTAAAAGAATTTTTTAACAGTTTTTTATAATTTAAATATAATTTTATTTGCAGAATTAAATCATACTCATATACCACGTACTAGCTTGGATCTGGAATTGGATTTACAAGCTCAACATAGCAAACTAGACTTCCTAAATGATCAAATTGCTAAATTGCAAAATTTAAAAGATGTGTAAGTATATAAGAATAATAATAGAGAAAATGAAGGTGTTTATTTAACACTTTTTATAATTACAGTTTGGAAAAGGCACGCGATGAAAAGGATCCTTTAATCGCCGCCTGGGCTATTGAGAATGAGGAATTCCAACGTTTAGTAGAACGTGCCGATCCTGCCAAATGCCCCGAAGAGAAACAATTACAAAAGTTGTTAATGAAAACTACTAAGAAAATTTATAAATTACGCAAAACAAAAGTCCCTAAAGGATGTCCAGATTTAGTGTCTTTCAAGTAAGTAGTTTTTAGAAAATATTTATTATATACAAATAATTAAAAAACTTACTAAATAATTGTTCTTATTATTTTCTTTTTGCAGAGAAAAAATTTCCTTCTTTACTCGCAAGGGTTTGTCAGTACCCGAACTACCAACTGATTTTATGCTATCCGAAGCTGATCCTATCGAAGAGGAAGAGGAGGATTTGGAAGACGATGATGATGAAGATAATGCCGCCGAAACAGCAATTGCCATTAATACTGCTCTCGTAGCCAGTAGCATACGTAACAAGAATCTCAGTGAGAATCATAGCGGTGGCAGTGCAAGTAGCCGAAGACAACAAGCTACACAAAATGCCACCAATAAAACTAAAATCGCAACCTCAACCACAACTACAACCACTATTACAACAGAAGAAACCGAAATTGTTAAAACTTTAGAAAACACCAAAGAAAACCAACAACAGCAACAAGTTAATAACGGCAAAGAAGATGACGATCAGAAACAACGTTTCGATTACGTTATCGATCGTACGTACGGTGTTGAAGTTTAGAAAATTAGGCTCTTCATTTATAATTTGTTTTTTTATTTTATTGTACAGAACTAGAAAATGTTTTTATGAAGAAAAACATTTTTTTGATTTGCAAATTTTTTCATAATTACAATTTTTAGAGAGAGATCAAGAAGATATAAATAGATAGTGTATAGAATAAATTAAAATATAATATAAATATTAAATTATTTAACAAACAATAAAGCCAGAGATTATTATATAAGCTTAAAGCTACAACTTGTAAAAAGAAAACATGCATATAATTTATTTTATAAATTATAAGAAAAATAATAATATAGGAAATAGAGTAACAACTTTATATAGAAACAGAGGACAACTGCGGATAGATACTATTTCCAAAACAATCTTAATGAATTTATCAAACTATAGTTAAAAGCCAAACTATGAAATGTTTGTAATTGAAACAGTGATTTTAAAAATCACTAATTTTTTATCATAACTTTTCAATAGTTTATTGTTTCTATAAAAAGTTATTACTTTATTATATCTTTCAAACTGAAGAAACAAACAAATTGTGCCTTATATTTAAAATATTTAGTTATAAGTTAAAAAAAGCAAAAATAATTATACTAAAAATTTTGTAAATTTTTGAAATCCCCTGATAAAAAAAATTCCCAACTGTGCATATTTTTTACTCAATACTAAACAAAAACAAAAAAAAAACTGAAAATAAATCTGTATTCCTAAGACTTTATGAAACACTATACGAATGTAATTTATTTAAAACTAAAAAAAATATTAAATTAGAAAAATAATTAAATAGTAATTAGAATTAAGACAAATCCTTTTGTATATAAACCTACCCGCCCTACAAAACCACAAAATCCAAAACATACCCCCCCCCTCCAAAATAGTAAAATATTTTTAACTAGAACTTTTTCAAAATTTTTTAAATCTTTTTTTACACAAAAAGTAATAAATCTACAAAAGCTTGCGTTTTTGATGAGCTTTCACTTTATATCTAATCGTAATTACATGCATACAAACAAAACCAAACAATTAGAAACCATACTTCCATAATATTTTTTTATTATTATTATTATTTATATACTCTTCCCCTAATTTCATGTAAATCGCAAAAATATATCATTTTACCTACAATTTTATATACCGTTTTCTAAAAAAAATAATTTTCCTTTTCTAAACAATAAAAATCTATTATTATTTACTTTTTTGTAAATTTGTTATTTTAGTTTTTAATCTTATTATTAAAATTAATCTGTAATTTGCAAACAAAATATTATATTTTTTGTTATATATATATTTTACTTTTTAGATTTTAAGTTTTATGTTTAATTATCAATTATTTAACTTTATACGTAACTGCATATAAATAATTAAAAACAAACATAATATTATATTTTGTCATAAACTGTTCATATCAGGATCTTCTGTATGTTAAGGATCCTTTTTTTTTGTTTCATATACATAAAAAACAATTGAATAAATAAAACAAAAAATTGTTGAATAATTATCCCTCAATTAAAAAATTTACTCAAATCATATTTATAGTTTATACATAAAAATAATAATATAATATATACATAAATAAATACCAACAACAAATATTAATTGTATTTTGTGCAATAAACAAAATCTGTAAAAAAGTAATTAAAAATAAAAAAAAAAATGTTTTAATTATTATTTAAGAGCAAGGTTTGAATTTGAAAAACTTGTTTTTGCGTTTCTAAATCTTATTCGTTTCAACTTATTCAATGTGAAAATATGGTTCACATTGAATATTCACAGGAACAAGTAGGAGTTCTATATAGGTCTATACCGAATCTCATACATATACCCACCATCAAAGTGTATGTTGTAAATTAAAGTTTATTACGGAAGGTGATCTTATATATGAACTTTAGCTCTTAGTAGTTTAATGGGGGCTTGATTCAGTTACGGACGGGACTCTACATAATTTAAAACAGTGAAAAATATTTCTCAAAATGTAAATTTTGTCGAATTTTACTTTAATTTTGCTTTCTGAAAGTGGGTTTAGATGGGATCAATTATTGGTTTATATAATATATAATAGTAGTTTCTGTCGCCATTTTTTTAAAGCGAGTTATGAGCTAAAAAATAATTTTCAGAGATGGAACTTGGATTAATATGGACCGATAATCATCAAATTTGAGAGAGATTTTTGTTTCTACAAAACTTATTTATGTTGGATTTCATCGCTATACTAGTATTATAAAGACAGTTATAAGAGTTGAAGTCATTTTCTGAAGGGGATCTTATACGGGGATATTTCAATAATGGATCGTTCTCATAAATTTTGGTAGGATTATTTTGGTTTCCACCAAACTTGTTTTGTCTAACTTCATAACTATGCGGTTGTGAGCGTTAAAACGAGTTTCTGAAGGGGGATGGGTCAATTATCGACCGATCCTCATTTATGTCGGATTTCGTTGCTATACTTTTACTATTAAGCCAGTTATGAGCCTTAACGAGATTTTCTGAAGGGGACCTTATATATATAAGAGTTAAAATTGTGCAAAATTTTATTACTATTTCTGTAGAAATAAATAATTTATGACACTTCAAACTTTTTCGAGAATCGAATTGTATGGGACAAGGCCAAATCATGGACGATATTGCTCATTTTCAATACAAAACAAACCTTATCAATAGAGAAGATTCATGCAAAATTTCAACTGCTTAGCTCCACCGACGCTAAGGCGGACGTAGCCATATCCATCTTAGAATTTAATAAGGATCAAGAATTATATATGTAAGTACTTTTGTGGGTCTATGACTAATATTTCGATGTGTTTCGATTGCGTTTCACGCAAAAAATCGATTTACATTTATTTTGACACACTTCCAGATCTGAACTATTAAACAATATAACTACAATTGTAAAAGCTTAAATACCGTTCAAATTTAAAAAAGAAAATAGTGATCATTTAATGGGTTGTAGCGCTCCAATTGAAAAAACAGGGAATATTTGAGAAAATCTGCAATCACTTAATTTTTTCATAAAAAAAGAACTTTTAATATGAAAAACAATAAAATAATGCCACAATTAAATTTCTCACCACGCTAGCTCCTTCATTAGGTAATATTTTCAGCATTCTATACCAAACCAACAACTTTCCTATATGCTGAAATATTACAAATGTATTAACCCTAACCGTGAAAATTATAACCCAAGGACAATATGTTCTGTGCTTTCTAAAGTTATGGAAGGTATAGTTCACTTCCATCAAATATTTAGACAATTTATTTAACCACCACCAGTATGACATTCATAGTTGTAATAAGGAAGCGGCTCTAGATAGTACCAAGGTGTTTGATAGAGTGTGGTGTGGTATGGTACATTTATATCAAAACTAATTGTATTTTAAGCATATTCACCATTTATTTTGAGCTTTCTCAGATCGCTCTATACGAGTTGTTGGGATCTCATAGTACTTAGTTAATTAGTTTGAAAGGAGAATATATATACAACCTCAAATCCGAAGAAATACACGAAGGGCTTTATAGGGCCTATTGTGTGCTCCTTTACCAGTGCCTCAGGTGGGAATCAAACCCACAACCTCCGGTCTACAAGACTTAAACACTAACCACTAACTTACATCATTAAAGGAGTTCAAGATTAATGTAAGGCAATGTTCTTTCCCATACCTCACGTCTTATTTTCATAAACTATCTTAAAATCAACCTTCAGACCCTATCTACACTTTTTGCCATTCTTATCAGTGACTGTAGAGCATCCAACTCGTATTGAGTCACTAGAGCACATTCGTAACGAGGAGTTTATTTCACAGTTCTATCAATGTTCTATCGGCATTCCAATGGAATGAGTTTCTGTGATATTTAGAAACTTGATACTGAATACTCGTACATTTTTACATAACACACGTATTTGATGAAGAACAGAGACATTTGTGGTGTACATATTTCAAACCGCACTGTTTGTATGTGGAACAAACTTCCTGCAGGAGTATTCCCTGCCACTTTCGATAGGTCAATGAGGCGGTCTGCTAAAGACCGACTCAATTCGCTCTAAATATTGGTCCCTATCCTACCCTTCGACCCTCACTTAGGGCATTACATAAACGTGTTTAACATGGAATCAAACCAAGCAATTGCACGAATGAACGACAATTGGAGTTTCTCTCAGGAACGACCCGATTCCCAATCGGTCAAAAATTGTGATCTCAGGGAAGAACATCCAGTCACAGACAATATGTTACAACAACAATAACAACGAATGGACGAATCTTTCAAATAAGGATTTTTATATGACAAACATAAAATATGTAAAGCCATTGATCTTTAAGTAAAGCTCCAGGATTAATTAGTATCTACGACATTTGTATACTGAAGATTTAAACATTCGCTTTGATAATTGCCCCAATGATACCAACAAAAAACTTAATTGATTAACTGACCTTTCCTCACATTATCAAATGGTTGTATGGGTCCGAAAAAACTTAACACAATTAAATTTATTTTACTTTACAATATCTAAATCATTTATCAAAGAAACAAAATAGTATTACTAAAAAAAATAACGGGGACTCCAAAATTTTGCCGCCATTTATCGACTTACCTGTAGATTCAAGCAACAAATTAAAAGTATGTATTTCACTATTTTATTATTAAAACAACATTTTTAATATTAATATAACATTAATCAAACTTTTACTACTATTTCTTTAAATTTTCACTTAATAACTTTTACTAGAACTTATTTCCGCGCACTAATTAGAAATTTAAATTTTTTTTATTTTTGACGTTTTGTTTTATTTACCTCAAATATAAGAGTAACCAGTGGTTAACTTTTGAATTGTGCGGAAAGGAAATCACTGTTGCCAATTTGACGATTTTGCAATTTCTTGAAAAATGCTTTTTAGCGGTTAGAATGAAATTTGGAGTAGGGTTCTATAAATCGACTTTCGAGTAATCGAACAATCGACTTTTTGTCGAAAAAGGTCGAAAAGTCGAAGTCGACTATTTTGTTCCAAAAAAGTCGATAACTCGACTATCGTCTGTGAAAAAAGTCGACTTTGTTATAAAAGTCGAAAAAAGTCGAAAAGTCTGAAAGTCGAAAACTCGAAAAAAGTCGATAAGTCGAAAAAAGTCGAATAAAGTCGAAAAAAGTCGAAAAAAGTCGAAGAAAGTCGAAAAAATTCGAAAAGTCGTAAAAAGTCGAAAAAAGTCGAAAAGTCGGAAAAAGTCGAAAAGTCGGAAAAATTCGGAAAAAGTCGAAAACTCGAAAATTGTAGAAACAAGTCAAAAATTTTAAAAAAGTGGAAAAAAAATCAAAAACTCTAAAATAGTCGGAAAAACTCGAAAAAAGTCAAAAAATAGTCGGAAAAAAGTAGAAAGAAGTCGAAAATAGTCAAAAAGTCGCAAAGTCGAAAAGTCGACTATTTATAAAATACTTATAGTCGAAAAGTCTAAAAGTCGACTTTTATTTAAATGAAAAAAGTCGAAAAATCGACTTTTCATAAAATGCAAAAAGTCGACTTTTACCTAAATGAAAAGTCGGAAAGTCGACTTTTCGTTTCAACTATAGAACCCTAATTTGGAGAAATTTAATAAACAATGTTTGGAGATTTCTGGCGTTTTGTTCTCAAGTAAATTAATTTGTTATAAATATTGAATATTTCTCATATAAAATGAAGTAGTTTACTATTTTCTGAAAAAGTCGCGATTTTTCAAGATTTATTATATTCTGCACTCTAGTTTATATTCAACTCTATACGTAATTATATAGTTTAGTCTATAATCAAGTTCTTAACGCGTTAAAAGCTTTAATACACATTTGATTTCAATAAAATGTTCTTAAATTATTTAATAAATCCAGTAAAAATTGGCAAATAAAAAGACAGAAAACCAAAAATCAACTTTTTTAAGCATGTGGCAACTTAAAACTACTATTTGTTTGTTTTTCTATCGTTGTCATTTTTGGCAAACGTCTTCTATCTGGCAACATCGTTTTGTGGCATTTAAGTGACAAGATACGTGGCTGTCGAAAAAAATACTGAAATCGAAAAACTTAAAACTCATTTAATTCGCTAGAAATTTAGTTATTTAATTAATATAATATAGTCCAATATATTACGAAGATGCAAAAAAATCTTTTAGTAACAATATTAACGCTTGCCCTGGTGCAATTGTTGCAAACGGCACAGGCCTTTATTGTTAATGTAGATGCCCACAATGAGGAATGCTTTTTCGAGAAAATTGAGGCCGGAACAAAATTTAGTAAGTAAATCATCACGGAGTTAATTAGAAACATATTAAAATTCTAACTTATTTTAATTTAGGTGTTACATTTGAGGTAATTGAAGGTGGTTTCTTGGATATTGATATCAAAGTAACTGGCCCTGATCAGGGTATCATGCATCAAAGTGAAAAAGAGTCATCGAGCCGTTTGACTTTTGCTGCTGTCACCACTGGTGTGTATACTGTATGTTTTGATAATCAAAAGAGCAGCATGACACCCAAATTGGTAATGTTTTCGATTGATGTGGGTGAGTCACCCCATCGTGCCCCTGGTGCTCCCGGCGAAGAAGATATTGGCCACACAAAATTGGAGGATATGATACGTGAATTGTCGGGTACTTTGACCAGTGTTAAACATGAACAGGAATATATGCACGTAAGTTTTATAACAATCAAATACTGTTATTGGTTATTGATTTAATATTTCCTTTTTAAGGTTCGTGACAAAATCCATCGTTCTATTAACGAAAGCACCAACTCCCGCGTTGTTTTGTGGTCCACCTTTGAAGCTTTAGTTTTGGTTTTAATGACCATCGGTCAAGTGTATTATTTGAAACGTTTCTTTGAAGTTAAACGTGTGGTTTAAGGCCTGTCTATGTCTGTAAATTATTTAGGAGCTGTCATGTTAAGTTTTACACATAATTCCATAGCCATTCTCCTTTCATTGTGAAAAATAAATTTTAATATTTTTTCTTTACCTAAATGTTTATTTAAGACAATTGCACATATAAACATTACTCATCTATTAAAAATATTTTTTAAAGAAAATGTCTTCGTTCTTATTTGGTAAAAAAAAATAATTTAGATTTATAGGTAGTTAGAATCGAAAAAAAGGCAGGATTAATACGTGCTTATACAGTTTTTTAAATAAGTCTTTCCTTAAAAATATATTGTGTTCATTACTTACAACTGCATATGAAATACCGGTTGTATAGTGTAAAAAGTATAATTTAAATTGAAAGAAATGTTTAAAATTTTTTAATAACAGAATATCAAATGTAGAACATTTATTACAAAATCAATAAACCTATAAATTACTAAAAGCTATTTTATAATGTCATTTAGAATCTTACATTTATTTCCAAACATGAAGTTATTAGGATTGATCATAGCTACTCTACATCTTGAACATTTTTTATAAATTCAGAACTTAACAAAAATTATCTAAAATATGAATTTATTGAAAATTCTATATAAACTCAAGATCTGTTCGGAAATTCATCTGAAGCGCAGTAGGTTTGGAAATGCATCCCAGAAATATATGATGCGCAAATAAAGTCGAAAGATGAAAAATATGTGTAAGTATTTAGATGTTAGATGCTGATGCGTACATCGCATACTAACCATCGGATACAGTAACGTATTGCGAATTTTCTATACATCAAGAATTTATTGAAAATTTAAAATATCTTGAAATTCTTCTATGATTCCTGCACTTAACGAACAGAATCTTACAGATAATAGATAGAATTTTACACAAACTTTTCATAAACTCATTCATAATTTTTTATATCGAAAAATTTTCGAACACTTTCTATGAATAGAAAATGTATACAGAATTTATCGTCACCTAAAACGCAAACGGCCCTATCTAACATTTTTTTAAATTTTACAGGAGAAGCAAAAAACTATTGAAATTGAAAAGTTGTTTCTATCCACGCGATTTATTTGTAGTAAATAAACAAATTGTTTAATAGTGAAACCTATCAGTTATTATGATAGTTGACAATGGCGTATATAAAAATGGATAGGGCCTTTTGTTTTTTGTCAATAAAATCGCTAATTTTGGTCGGAGGATTCCAAATACATTATAATCAACAATAAAATCGATTTTGATATTTTTATATTTATAAATGGAAAATTTATTTAAAGAATGATTTCATCACAAATTCTCCATAAACCAAAATTATCAAAAATTCTCAAAAAATGCAAAGTTTTTCCAAAATCGAAAATTTATCGATAATTTGTTTGAATTAAAAATGCATCGAAAATTTATATAAATTGCCAATTTATTAAAAATTTATTAATAAATCAAAAATTCATCAACATTTTTCTATAAATCATAAATTCATAAAAATTTTTCTATAAATTGACAATTTTCCATAAATCATTTAATTCATCGAAAATGAATAAAACCTCCGGTAGGTTAGTGGTTAGTGCTCTAGTCTGGTAGACCGGAGGTGGTGGGTTCGATTCCCACCTAGGTGTATTTTTTCGGATTTGATCTATATACATCCTCCTTTCAAACTAACTAACTAAATACAAATTCATAAAAAATTTCTATTAATCAAAAATTTTCTATAAATGGAAAATTTATTGAAAAATGCTACAATTTGAAAATTTAATATACAAATCAAGTATTTATCCAAAAAAATTAAAACAGAATTCATTGAGATCTTAAAAGAAACAGATTAGTAAAAAAAGGTTTTTCAAAAATATAAATCTATAAGTATTTAAAATAAAATTTGATCAGCTTTTGGAACTTTTCTAAAGAGAGAATTCATTCAATACTTCTATGAATCAAGTAAGTACCTTTGTTCTAAAAGTGGAGAAATTATAGAAAAATTTCTATGAAAGAAAAACTTTTTAAAACTAGATTATTTATTCGAAGTGTTCTATAAAAACTAAAAATGTCTTAAAAATTGAAAATTTAGCTTAAAATTTTAATTCATATATTAAATTAATAACTTCCTTATACATATATTTTTATTAATATTTAACAGTCTTTTTATTAGTTACATATTTTGATCAGAATTCAATTTCAAATACATATTAAGTACTATGTACCATTATAACAATTTTATCTATCGTTTATAGCAGTATATATAAAAAAACTCGATTATGTATATAATTATTTATACATTGTACTGTGAGGTAAAAAGGAAAAGAAAAAAAGTTATATTTATGTAAAAAAAAGTTAAAAGTTAAATTAGAAAAGAGGGAAAACAAAATTTAAAGGTAAAACAATTTATCGCACAATTCCTCCGATGGCGAACGACGTATATTCTGACCCACTAAATAGGCCATCTTGTGAGCATATTGGCAGCAGGCTGGAATGCGTATAGTACCAGGCCAATTGTAGTATAGGAAGCACAACTTATAGGTCAATCTTTGTATAATATCTGGACTGTAGACAGAGTCATCACGCAATACAACATAATGACTAGGACTAACCGTACCTTGGCGAACACTTTGCGATACCAAAAAGAAATCATAGTAGTTGGAGCGTGTTATGTTATTGTCAACAACAGTGCCAGGCTGTGGATTGTTGGCATTATTGCCACTAACTGTAAAATATCGAGTGTTAATGCGTTTTTGTACAACAATAAAGGTGATTTTGAGTGTATGGTTTAGCATGCGATTGCAAGCAGCTTCAAATTGTGGAATTTCATAGGATTCACAAAGGGCCAGTTGGCCGTCACCCACACCATCACGATAAATTATAACACTATCAGGATATTTGCCATTTTCCTTGCGAAAAGCCAGCAGAGCAGATATGAAACTGGAGCATAGACCGCCAACAATCTCTTCGCGTTTGGTCTGAATAACTGCCTTGCTGTACCATTTAGTGTAGGTATGATTAATGGAGGCCACAAAGGCAGCTACCGAATTACCTTTTTGAGCAGCATCATGATACGAATCGATGCCACAGATCATAACATTCTTAAAAGGTATCTTAACCGACCACAAGGAACCACCCAGTTTGCAGTTCATTTGCAATAGGATCTTCTGGACTATAGAACGATTTTTGGCATCATTAGATAAAGTGCGAGCATTTATCACCTGCGAAGGTATAGGCATTTCAACGCAGCATATTTTCTTTATGGCTGAGTATCGATCATCTCGTGCAGTCGGTGAAATGCACACCACTATTTGAGTTTCTTTGGTAATATTCTCACGTATGGCTTTGACATAAGTGTCTACACGATCGTTTGGCAAAACAATCATTTTGGGCTTTTGCACTTTCATGCCAAAGGCTCTGGTATTTCTTTCGATATGATCACAAAACGATTGGGCTACCTTTGAGTCATTCTTTACATGTATCAGCAGCCAGTCATGTATATTAACGACCTCCAGCAATTCATTGCTGCAGGCATAGCGGGAAAAGTCAGCAGTAGGTCCAGCCGAAAAGACTTTTTGATTGAAGTAGATTTTCTCCTCTTCAAAACAGCGGCCATTAATATGTTCATAGGACTGCTTTAAGGTCAGACCCCAGTCATTTAATATCTGCCTAGCCTCAGGACTTTTGTTAATATTGGTGTAGAATTTCTCCAAAGCCTGCAAACGTTGATTGGGTGATATGCGTGTGAAGGTGGCAATTTCACGCATTAATTTGAAATCGGAACGCATATCGTCACGCAATCCTGTCAAATGACAAGTTTCGGGTATCAAACAAAAGACTATATCCTCCGCTTCCGTATTGTTAGCCAATTTTTGTTTCTTAATACTGATAAGCAACGGTTGAGATTTATCCTTGATGGTAATATTATGGCTTTTTAGGTAATAGTCATTGTAGGATATGGCGCCATCTTTGGTGGGAAAAGTGGACATAGGAGTTTTATCAAAAACTATGTCATCTATGCGGTAGGTACGATTATTGTAGCGCGTTATGATAACAGCTCCCAAAAGAGCTTTCTTGGCAGCCTCTTGAAATGAACCTGAATTGCTTTTGTGTATATCGATCAGCATGTCGAGTACGGTTTTTTGGCATAACAAACGATGTGAGACATCACAGCATAACATCAAACCACCCTCATATTCATCTACAGCAGTGACATATCCCGGCCAAACTTCTAGCTTTTGTTGTGGTATTATCTTGGGCGAAGTGGGATCAAATTGTTTCCGATCAAAACGCACATAATTTAGAGTCTTCATAACACGATCGAAAAGTACATTATACAAATGAATACAGTTCTTGAGGCTTTCTTGGCGTTTATATAGAATACGAATTTCTATTTCCGAACCATCGGCTTTGTTTTGTGAAACAAACGTGGTAAGTTTGTCCTTTAATAAGATGGGCAAGTACAATGTGACACCATCGAACGTTTTAGTGCCACCAAACTTATCACGATGTTCATTTAGGTACTTCATGCGCAAACTGGTGGAATCTACATTCGGTACAAATCTTACCTCATAGACAAATACACCTTTCTGAGGATCAGACTCTAAGCGTATGTAATTACAAGCTAATTTGGCCGGAGTTCCCTTAGATCCATGAGTATTTTGTACAGATTTGAAAAATTCAGACTTTTCTTCTTTAGCTTCTTCCTTTACCTGGCCTTCCACTTGAGTTTGAACTTCTGGTTGTGTCTTTAAAGGTGAGGCTGCACGACGCGGTTCTTCCGAAGAAAATGAGGCGGTAGAAGTAGTCTCCGAAGTAAAACGTTGAAATAAACTTGCTCTACCACGGCCAGGAGCTTGTATAGCACTCTGGGAGCCTTCATCATCTGTAACTCTTATGTTACTGCGACCACGTCCACCAATCGATAAACTAGAGAAAGAGGTAAGATCTTCTATGATTTTACCACGTCCCAAGCGTCTAAATTCTCCACCACCACCAGAAACGGGACTACGTGAACCTAAGCCACTATCTTTGGTGGAAATACCTTCAGTTGATTCAGTGGATTCAGTCAATACAGTTTGCTCTAAGCACAAATTCAGAAATTGTCCGCGTCCTTTAGACATGTTTTCTAACGAGCATTAATTGTCTTTACAGCTAAAAAGTTTAATTGATCCTCACTTGGAAACAGTTTTGAAATCAGATTTTTAACGCGAACACATTTGCAACAAAACTGTAAATCTTGTAAAAAATGCATAAGAGAACAAAACATATAGTTGCCATATTGTAAGATTTTGAAATTTGATACTTTTTTGATTATTTTGGGTAAAATCGCTGCTAAGTTATCAATCATATCGATAAAAACCGTTAAAATTGAAATGTTGGTTCAATATTTGCTGAGCTGCGTAAAATGATAAAAAGCCCATTTTTTAAAGTTTTTCAAGTCTTTTTACAGTTTCACCAAAAGGAAAGATATCAAATTTTAATATTAATTAATTTCAATATTCCAATGAAATATATATTATATATCAATAATGAGCTTATGAAATTACGCGTGTATTGATGTATTTATATACATATGCATGTATGTCCTAATTAAGTAGCTAAAAGAAGATCGGGTAAAAATGAGTTTTGAAAAATTAAAAAACATTTCGGTGAAATTTTCAGCGGGAACCTAAGCAATTTCAATTTTACGCCCATCCTAATATTTACAATAAATCAAACGATTTTAGAATTTTCTGCGTTCTTTAATGCTCTTTTAAAATTATGTTATATTCTTAATGTGAATTCTTAATAGATTCTATGAAATGAATAATTTTGTCTAGCTCATAAAGAAATTTTTTATATATAAAATGAAGACATTTAAAAAAATATTTTATTTATTAAATTTCTTCCATATTTTTTTAATTTGTAAAATATTAGGATTTGTAGAATTTTCCAATATTTCGCCTTATTTGAGGTGCTGTTTCTAGATAGCATGCGAGCACTTTGAGTTAAAATTTTATTTGTATATTGTTATTGTAACAAAAACAAAATATGTACATTTAAAATTTTTACTTTTTCTATAATGCGTTTTATAGACTTTTCAAAAACAAATTATAGAACTCAAGATGAAATAATACAATAAAATTGAAAATCTGGTAACGCCAACCTTATATTCAACGACGTTAAAACTATTTTGCTTGACTTTGTTTTCTTAGTTGTCATTATTGTTTTCTCTTTGTGTCACCAAAAAAGGTGTGAAAGTACCAGCGTTGTCAACTTAGTGCTTTTAGTGCTTTTAAAAATTTTCGACGCGATTAAATTTCGCATCAGTGCCTAGTGCTTTTTTAGTGCTTTCTCTAAAACTTTTGTGGCACTATATTTAACGTCGAAAGTAACTTTTATAATTTTTTTCTAGGAAATTATAAAATATTTTAAAAATTATAATTTTTTAAGGTAGTTTTAATTGATTTTTTTTTAATTTTCTAGAAGAAGAAAGAGTTTCTGTTAACTTACAGTCTGATAACCAACATACAAATTAGGGAATTAAGGACGTTCACGTCAATTTCTGAGGAGCACCAAAGACCTATTCTGGAAGCACAATTGTACAAATTATCTTGAATATTTCGACCGTTTGTTTGATTACAAGGTTAAGAAACATCAGCACAAGTTCACTATAGGGGTATAGGGTATAAAAAAAAGCTTTTAAATTTATATTTTTTAATCAGGACTTCGGAAATCCGTGAAATTATTTAAGAGTTATTCGTTCTATAGAACAGTTCTAGATCGATAATTTTGGTATTACATTCACAACTCTTTGAAAGGGTTTTTCAAGAACGTATTTATTATTACAAAACTTATTTAATTCAAGAAACTTCTCAATATAAATTTTAAAATTTTGATCCCTTTACGAAAATATATGGAAATTTTATTTTTTGGTTTAAAAATACATACATATTTGTTAGCTTTTTATGGCTGACACTCTTTCTTCCCGAACCTAGTATATTCGAGCAGTTAATTTTCCTTTAAGCTACCATCTTTAGCGTCTTACTACTTTTTCCGAAATAAATCAACTGAATTTAGAAAAAATTAAATTTTCTATAGTACATATACATATATAAAATTTTTCCTTTGAAAATTGTAAAATTTTTTTCAGTGCTTTTTTACGAGAAATACGCGTTTTTTATTGAATTTGGTGCTTTTTGAAATTTTAAAGTTGCCAACGCTGGAAAGTACTGTGAATTGCGGGTTCGGTCAACGAGATTAATTTTTTCATCAAAGAAATAGAAATATTGTGCAAAAAATTAAACAAAATTTATAAAATTAGCTAAATCATTAAACGCAATTAGTGTAAAATAGAAAACATTAAACATAATTTAACGCAAATTATATTTAACATAAAAATTATAACATTTTGTGCTAAAATGAAACAAGAAAATAGTGATTGTGAATGTTCAAAAGAGAGAGAGAAAGAAAATAGATAAAAGAGATGGTTAAAAAATAAAACAAAACAAAATTAGTTGTATATATTCACATAATTTAAAATGCGGAACCTGCACAAAAAGGCACCGTTTTAAAAAACAACAAAATACCGCTAAAAACAAATTTTACATAAACAAATAAACTATTTGTTGTTTTTAAACAATATTTATTAACATTTTCTACAACTTGGCTTTATATCAAGGTATGTTTTAAGCTTATTCAAACAAAATCACCGGTCCATTTTTCTTTTTACACATCCGAACAAATTTTAAATTCCTCTTTTCATCCTTTCATTTTTCGCTTAACATTAGGTTTCCATTTAGCACACAGCACTGGCTCATTTTCCATTTGTAGAGTATGTGTTTTTTCAAGTCAAACTTTATTTTTTTCTTTTTTGGGTTGTATCCATTCATGCGTCGTCCTCTTGCATTGAGATACTTGCAGATTTCCTTATTGACTTCGTCAGTTGTATCGTGCATTTGCAATTGTTAAGTATTGTCTCCCGGCCGCTTAAATTTAAATTTTTGACTTTTTGCAAATTATAACTTGTAACTTTGGAGCTACAGTTTTATTTAAATGTTATTAAGTTACCGCGATGATATAGGTATGTAGTTTTGCCAGTAGTTAAATTCAGTGTTCAAGTGCTTGTGTCGTTGCAACCAGTAATACTGGCTTTTCATATTACTCCATTTCATTGTACAATTTAGTTGCTTCTACATATAGCAACAAACTGCTGTGTATATTATCTTTCCTTAAATACTTGCTTTTTTAAATATGTATTTTTTGCATTTGTATATGCAGTAGGTATAGTATTTGTTTCGTTTATGGTAAATGACTTTTGGATTCTTTATTGAATGGCAAGGTTAACAAGGTCTGTCCAAACAACGTTTTGGTCCACTAAGTCTTTTTATCATTCTTTCATTGCAGATTTATGATTTGCAATAATGAGAATTGTAGCTGTTTCAAAATTTAAAAAAAGTATTTCAGAATGGGTGGATAATTTAATTTTTTAAGGATTTTCTGGGAAATTTTTTGTTTGTACATTGGTCCTTAATATGTATTTGCTTCCTCTCTTAATTTTCTGATGTAGCCATTTACTGTGTGATAGTTTGGATGATTTATCCATTTATATTTTAAAAAGGATATTTGCATTTCCTTTTTTCATCGATTTAAACTTTTTTCGCAGAAGATGTTGTTCGAATGTTTTCTAAATAGCCTAAGATTGTTGTCCCTGGAAGATAAGCAACACAATAAAGTTTCTGCTACTACAGTTATAGAAACTGTCATAAATTTTTACTTAATTGATCTTATGTTACTGAGACATCTTCCATTATCCGAATAATGCGAAGTCTATCATTCAGGGACTACTTTTTTCAAAACAATCGTGATAGAGGCAGTCGATCGATGATAGTATAGCAATAAAATCTAAGTGTTATGTTGACAAATAAATAGCCGACAACAATGTAGCCTCCTTATGTAAATTATTTATACTTGGTCCAAGTTTTAAAAAAGACTGCTTAGATTTGAAAGCATATAGCCACAACATACTGAAATGTTACATTTAAGTAAGTTCAACATTCAACATTTTTGCTATTTTTACGTTTATGCCAGTCATGTCTAATGTTTAAACTCTTCCAGAAACCATAATCGGCGTTTGTTGATTTAAAGTGGGTGTAAAAATAAAAGAAATGCAAATAATTCATAAATAAGAATAATGTTCCTATTTTAGTATTTCTCTGTAGCTCCTTTAGAATTATTTGTAATAAGCGTATGGCTGGGAGTAGATTTTGTTTTGTGTAGTTGCTTCACATAGAAAATAAATGAAATTAAATAAATGCAGTAATAAAATAAAACAAAATTGCAATGACATAAAAAAACTAAAATTTCTTATGTGAAAGACTCTCTTTATAAATTGTGGACATGAAGAGAAATTTTTACTTATACCTATATTTATCGGGGTTGCCAAAGAAATTTCGCAAAGAATATCAAAAAAATGGAAAATAAGCTTGGAATCCTTATGCTTAAGGTAATCTTAGGTAGTTTATGGACTGAAGAAGTTATTATTGTCTGTATATCCTTGGAATTCTCAAATATAAATCAGTTTATAATTGTGGCAAAATGTTTTTTTGGCAACACTTTGCCCCCACTCTTTGCAGATTTTGTTAAAAATCGTCCCCATAAATTATTATTTTGTTTTGTATACTACTCCCCATATAAACTTTCTATCTCTCTATTGTATTTAGAAACTCGAAAACATTTACTCTTACAATAATCAAAACATTTTGTGTTAGTATAAACAAGTTTACAAAATTATTAATAAAAGAGATTTTTTTTTCTTCAAATATAGGTATATGGAGAGAAAATTATTTATGTAAAGTTAGCACTCAAATACGTACTAAAACATACAAATACGCCTCTGACTAAAGAGATGTTTCTTTTCATATTTGGATACATACGACAACAATGAGCAACAAAGACCCAATATGAATAGAATATACAAATCAGAGATACATAGAAAGAAAGACAGACAGATAGCTCCCACACAATCGGCTGACTGTTGTGAACAATTGAGCACCCAATGTGTATTTGTAGCACACAGTAATGTGTCGGCAAAGGTAGCAACGATATCGTACAATAAACTAGTAGGTCGCGAATGCTACCAAACTCTTTAATTTACGGAAATTGTTGCAATATTTCTTTAAGTTTACTTTTTTATTTTGTATTTTCTATTTGTTTAATAATTTCTCTTTGTAATAGAGAAAACATTTTAACAATGTAATAACTAAAAGTGTACGTTAAATATCGTTTTAATATGACTTTGTTGAAAAATGTTATAAATATTTAAAAAAGTAAAAAAAGAAAACTTTTAAGAACGAAAAAACTTTGTATATGGGTGAATAAGGAATATGTTGAGTATTTAAAGTATCACTAGTTAAATATGTTTAGTATTGGTCGCTTTAAAAGGGTGGTCGTTTGTCTGCTGCAAGCTTTAAGAAAGATTTTTTATTTTTATTTTATTAGAGTGTGTATAATGAGTAAAACAAAATTGATGTAAGAGTGTTGAAAATGTTGTTGTGTGAAAAGAGGCAACAGCAACTGCAAGAAGTGAGTTACTAAAGTATGTTTCAACATTTTGGGGCAAGCTTGAGGCAAAAGAAAACAACAGTCATTACTACCACTTCCACTCCTTGCAGTTTTGTTGTGTTTTTGTATTCTTTTTTATTTTTTTTGCAAAAAAGGGGTTGCCGTTTAGTCGAATTTTTATATATTGGAATTTTGTTTTTGAAAACACCAATTGTTATCAATCATTTCTAGTTCAGTTCTAGTTCAGTTCTAGTTCAGTTCTAGTTCAGTTCTAGTTCAGTTCTAGTTCAGTTCTAGTTCAGTTCTAGTTCAGTTCTAGTTCAGTTCTAGTTCAGTTCTAGTTCAGTTCTAGTTCAGTTCTAGTTCAGTTCTAGTTCAGTTCTAGTTCAGTTCTAGTTCAGTTCTAGTTCAGTTCTAGTTCAGTTCTAGTTCAGTTCTAGTTCAGTTCTAGTTCAGTTCTAGTTCAGTTCTAGTTCAGTTCTAGTTCAGTTCTAGTTCAGTTCTAGTTCAGTTCTAGTTCAGTTCTAGTTCAGTTCTAGTTCAGTTCTAGTTCAGTTCTAGTTCAGTTCTAGTTCAGTTCTAGTTCAGTTCTAGTTCAGTTCTAGTTCAGTTCTAGTTCAGTTCTAGTTCAGTTCTAGTTCTTGTTCAGTTCTTTTCAATGTGATCTTAAATGTAAAATCCCAGCAAATGGAAATCGTTTTCGAAAAAGAGTGGATTTTTCTCAAGCCGTTTGAGAAAAATTAGTACGATAATTAAATCTTTGTCATCCCATTTTGGGGATGTATTCTTTTACACATTTTTGGAGCAAAGAAATCGGGACTTGTGGCTAGTTGGCATCCTTGTTTACACTCTCACACACATACACATCATAATACTCTTGAGTATCTATATGTATGAATTTATTTTACATACATTATTTATTCTCTTTTCGTTTTGATTATACTACGTTCATTCAGGCTACCAACCAGCCAGCCAGTCAGTCAGTCGTACATACAAAACGGTCTAACAACCCACCGCAGTCAGTAATAGTGGCAAGCAAGCACAACAAACACAATCAGTTAAACTTTAGCGGCACGCCCTTGTATTTTTTATATTATTTTTCAGTATCGATGAATATTCAGTGTAGATTTTTTATTTGTTATTATTTTTGCAAATACTAGTATGATGAAAATACATATAAATAAAACATAAATAAAGCAAATAAAACAAGGCAAAAATAACAAATTTGTATACAAACTAAAATTTATTCTGCAATATAAAAAAAGTCAAGTGCTAAATGAAAAGTGTGCAAAAAATACTAAATTAAAAATACATACAAATATTTTAGGTAGCAAAAATGTGAATCTTCTAATACAATAATATAATAATAATAGCAACACAAAGAAATTGAAATAATTTAAAATATTTTTTATTTATTTTTTTAGATCTTCAATTTAAGAAAAATTGGTTGCAAAAGTCTTCCAATATAAACAAAAATTGTGAATAAAAAAAATTTTGCGAAAAGAAAAAAGAACCTAAAAGTTTTTTTAAATGTTTGTGTTTAAATAATGAAGAAGATTTCTGAAATATCAAAAAAGCAACTACAACAATGTCAAAATCATGTCTAAAACATCAATCTTGTTTCTAAGAATAGAAGAAAAACGAATTAAATAATAAAAAAACAACAATATTTTTGTGCTAAATAAAAAAGTAATTTATTTTTTGTAGAAATAGTTGTTGCTTATAAAGCAGCAAAAAACGTCATTGTTGTTTTGTTTGTTTTTATTTCCTTGCGCTCATCATTAAAAGCAACAGAACTAGCAACATCACTAAGTAGCAACAACAAGAAAAACAACAGCAACATATTTCTTCATACATACTCATTTACCATATTCACCAGTTTTGTGTGTTTCTTCACAATTCCAACGACTTCCACTTGTTAATTTTTTGTGTTAAATTCTTAAACATCTCTCTCCCCCTCATCCCCCACTTCTACCCACCCCATACTCAAAAACATTCGTCCTCTCTTACTCTCGCGGTTTCACTAAAATCCAAACAAAAAATAAAACCGCACAAATGAAAATGGTTGATAAATCATCTAAATTGGATAAATTTAGCGCCAATATGAATGCTTCTACATCAGCTGGTGCTGGCAGTGGTGGAGGCAGCGGTGGTGGTGGTGTCGTTGGCAACACTGGTGCTACTGGTGGCAGTGGCATGAATACTGGTCATGGTGTTTCTAATATATCGGGTCACTATTATCATGCTATGCAACAGCAGCAGCAGCAACAGCATCATGGCGGTAGTAGCCATCATCAAAATGGTCAAAAGCCAGTACCTATGAAATTATTTGCTGCATGGGAAGTGGATCGTACCCCACCAAATTGTATACCAAGGTAAGTGTTTATATGCCTTTACATTTTTTCATTATTTTATAGTTATTATTAGTTGTTATATAAATAATTATAATATGCAGGAAAATTCAAACGAACCATTCAAATTGTTTATCCTTGAGAATGCACAACAAGAAATCCGATTAAATTTTAATTGATTTAAAAGAAAGTAAAATAATATTTACTATGAATCTGTTTGTTTAGATATTTAGTGAACTGCTGTTGAATAATTGAAATTTTTTAATACAAAATTTTACATATTTTCAGTCTTCGATTTAATTTATGTTGGGTGGATTGGATTAGACCAAAATTCAGCATTCGAATGAAAGCTGATGATACTATTATATAAAAACTGTTTGATTTAAATTTAGTCTTTCCACTTCTTAAATTCGAAGAAATAATTGTTGATAGATAAATATATATCTTACATATCGAGGAACTATATTCAATAGTCGCTATCTCTCATATTCATGAAAATGGAAAAAAAATTGCTTTAAACTCTCTTATTTTGGATAATTTTCTGTGGCAAAACAAGTTTTCATACTAATTTGCACATGCTGATCACAAATCTATCAAAATATTTGAAATTGACCTAATGACCTTTCGAGATATCGTTCATTATTATTATAATTAGTTAATTTTATTGTCGTGTTTAACCATATAACGTTGATTTTGTACCAAAACACATTCTGGTGTTTTTAAAGAATTAGGTTTCTTTAACTCCATTACATTAAATATTATGTAAAATTATTTTAGTTGCAAATATCTTTCAACTTAATCGAATTAAATACAATTTTTGAGATATCGTAAGCATCATTGTATTGAAGAAGTTCGTTCAGTTCCGGGAGCAAGGAAAATCCTTAAAAATAATTACCAAATTCTTAAACTGGTAGTAAAACTTTATTAAAATGCATTAAAAGGTGAAGAAAATAGCAATGAAATTTAGCAAAGAAATTTCTAAAGGTTTCTATTATGAACCGATTTGAAGTATTTCTAATAGGGTTCGCACTTTGATCAACAAGACGGACAGACAGACAATAAGGCAGAGACATTCATACAGGCAGACAATTTTATTAAAATACTCTAAAAATATTTTAAGAAACATCAACAATTTGTGATGAAATTATTTTACTTTCCGTTTTTGTGTTTATATATTTGTTAAACTATTAATAAACCATTAATTTAAATTAAAATCTATCAAAATTTATTATTAACTCATATATTTTTATTTTGCCAATTATTAAAATTATAAATCGATAGAGTTAAATTAAACAAACGAAAATATTTGTATGTCTTCAAAATAATAAAAAACTCAGCACATACAGTGTCTCTCATAAGTATTCGAATTTAGGTAAACTATGAAAAGAAACCAAATTTAATAATATATTTTGTGTGGAAAATAAATAAATAAATTTGTTATATTGTCTAGATAGTCCTTAGTTTTGATATCACGCCCCTTAAAACTTGAAAACTTTACATTTACTCAAATAAGTTGTGCTTTTTTTAAAAAAGTCCATGAAACTACTTCACAAAAGTATGCGAATTTTTCCTGTATTTCATATTTGATCATATTATACGATACACAAATTTTAGAATCGCATGGTTTTATGCTTAATATTGTTTTAAGGGGTTACTATCAACCGCATGGATATATTTTTGACCCATTTGGTCCACAATTTTGGGGGATTTGTACCCTCTTTTCAAGTAATATCATTAAAATGGCGATTTTTGGCTATATTTGTAATGTTTTCACCCTTTTTCCAGAGATGAAACCAAAATTTAATGTTGGAATTTAATAGAACCCATAGGGTATCCAAAAATAATATTTTTTGTTATAAGGATCTGTACTTAAACGTTCCAAGATGTATTTTTGGTATCGTTTTTCAGTTTCTAATTGAATTATCTGGATCATAAGTCCCTTTTCGTACCTCTAGGGACGATATTTTTCGACAAAGTTGTCTAGTGTATATTCATGTACATATTGGCACTAATGTATTTTAAATTTTCAATATATTATAGCGGTATACATCCCCAAAACATGTCTTAACAAAACGTCATCCTATATAGTAGAATTCAGTTTTTACTACTCGTAACTTTCATGCTTATGTTGCCCGTTACAATAACACTGTAAGTCCTAAATTTTGGTTTTGATTTGATCATAGTAAATAATATTTAAACACATATCAACATTTTTCATGTGATCATATGATATCGTGCCATGAAGCATGGAGGCCATTGGTATATAAAAATAATGATTGTACTATTTTGAATGGTGCTTCTTCGAGGCATGTTTTGGAGTTGTACACTTCCACAACACTTTGAAAACTTAAAATGTATAAAAGCTGATATCTAAAAGAATATATACCAGAAAACTTTCCTCGAAAATAGTTGATCCTAGTATTATAAAAATGGACTTAAGTTCCAATATATTGAAGAAGAATGATCCGAATAATTTATCTTGGAACGTTTAAATACAGATTCTTGTAACATAAAATATTATTTTTAGATACCCCAAGGGGTCTTTTAATTCCCAATATCAAATTTTTGTTTTATCTCTGGAAAAAAGAAGAAAAATTTACAATTATGGCCAAAAATCGCCATTTTAATGATATTACATGAAAAGAGGGTACAAATTCCCCAAAATTGTGGACCAAATGGGCCAAAAATATATCCTTTCCGTGGATAGTAACCCCTTAAAACAATATTACGCATAAAAACCATTCGATTCTAAAATTTGTGTTGCGTATAATATGATCAAATATGAAATACAGGAAAAATTCGTATACTTTTGTGAGGCAATTTCATGGACTTTTTTTAAAAAAGCACAATTAATTTAAGTCAACGCAAATTTTTCAAGTTTTAAAAAGCGTGATATCAAACATAAGGACTATGTAGACAATATAACAAATTAATTTATTTATTTTGCACACAAAATATATTATTTAATTTGGTTTCTTTTTATTGTTTACCCAAATTCGAATAATTATGAGAGACACTGTATGTTATAGTTTAGGCAATTTAAATAAATTCTACTCTAACAATTTTTTTTTGCAATTTTTGTTGTGCAAAATTTACATTAAAAATAGATTTAAACTATTTAAATTTCCTTATACGTCTGTCTGCTGCTGAGGGACAGACAGACATTGTCATCTATAAAATGTAGGGATGCCAATCCCGAAATCCCGATCCCGAAAATCCCGGGATTTTTCGGGATTGGCAAATCCCGAATCCCGGGATTTGGAAAATAAATCCCGGGATTTTTTCGGGATTAGGATTTGTTTCAAAAAACTGTTTTTATTTTCTTTTTTTGAGCCATAATTTTCATTAATTTGAAAATTACGATCTTATTTTATTTTTGACTCATGCAAAACAAAATTCCGCAGAGCTAATTTTATACATATTTGAACCTTTTATTTTTTAAAGTGGTATGAGTCCATACACATAGCACATATAAATTTATTTATTCACTTCGTTTTTATACCTTACACCACTTTAGTGGGGAGGGTATATTGGGATTGTGCTGATGTTTGTTACACACAATAATATTGGTCCTATACCTTAAAGTATACCAATCGGCTCAGAATCATTTTCTGAGTCGATTTAGCTATGTCCGTCCGTCTGTCCGTCCGTCCGTGTAAACCTTGTAATCAAACTACAGCAATTTTGAAGATAATTCAATGAAATTTTGCATGATCTTCTATTGTACTAGAGACGGATCCTATTGAAAATGGATAACATCGGTCCAATATTTGACCTAGCCCCCATACAACTGAACCCCCCAAATAGGGTTTTTAAGTTCATAATTATGTTCAATATACTCGTAACTCGACAAAAAGCTGCAAAACCAAGTTCTATACTAGCCTTCATGACCCTGATGTATTTTTTGATGATGCGGCCTCATTATATCTGAGGCAAGGTACAATTCAACTTAGATGCTTTATTATGAACAATAAATCACATTTTATTTTTATAACTGGTGTAGGGTATTATATGGTAGGCTTCGCCCAACTATAACTTTTTACTTGTTAGCACATTGCAATGTTGGTCGTAGACCGACCCAAAAAGTATACACATTCTGTGTCTGTAAGCTGAAAACACGAGTTAGAAGACTCATTCTATTTGGGCTGCAAATTTGGACCAAAATTGACACAAGAAAACCTAATTGGACCTCCTCTGAAAATCACATTGATGCTGATATTAATATCAATACATTACAATATTTTGATGGTGGGTATTTAATTTCGGCACAGTCGAATACAAACTTTATTTTTCAATACTAGAGGATTTTACATTTCTAACTTTCTACAAATCTGAATGATACCGGTAAAGGTAAATTACCTTGTTCTGAATGCACCTAAAATTTTAAATTAATACTACGAATATAATAATATGTTCCAAAACTAATATGTATTTTGAGTAAAATTCCAAACATTTTTCAAAGAATAGGTTCTAAATTGATGTTCGAATAATTGAATTGGTATCTGTTATAATTATTAGTTCACATGGAACAGTATGAGGTTTTAAAAAGTGCTTATGTCTAATTTCGGAACTTGATATTTATTTTTATTTAGGAAGTAAGTATGTATTTAAAAAGTTTCAGAAATTATGCAATTCTGAAAGTTTTTATTTAAAAATTGGAATTAATTGGATTGTTTTAATTTAAATATATCTTCTGTCTGTTAAATTTCCACAAAATTAAACAATTTTCTTTACAAATATGATGATTTAAAGATTTTCATATATAAAATAATTAAATTCATGTAATCCCGAAATCCCGTAAAATCCCGAAATACCGAAAAATCCCGGGATATTTCGGGATCCCGGGATTGCAATTTTCAAAATCCCGAATCCCGGGATTTGTAAAAGCCAGTCCCGTTTGGCATCCCTAATAAAATGTTTCAACAATTTAAATTTCGACATATTGTTGTTAATTGCATTCAATATACCACAATACATTGAAAAATATAAATACATTTTGTGTTTTATTTGTACAAATTTTTCAATAAA